CCCCAAAACCCCAAAACCCCAAAACCCCAAAACCCCAATGGTTTAGATCTTACTAAAATCTTAGTAATTTAAAATAAAAACTAGTTTATTTCTTAAAATATAATTCATAATTTGACATATTCTACATGACCAGGAATCTCTTAATAATATTTATGCTGAGCTTGACTAAGTATTTGAATGCTCAAGTTTTAGCTAAAAGTGACTTGGTAGTCTGCGATGAATATGCTGGCAGCTACTAAACTGATTACAAAGATGAAAATAGCCTTGATTGCACCTAGAAGATAATAATAGCTTTTAATATATACGGAGGTGAGGTAAATATTGCACTATGTAACTTAAGTCATCATTTTACTATAGTAAATGGGAGGTCAGTATCTCAAATTCAATATCACTAAAGTCAAGAATACCTCCACCAACTCTTTTGACCAACTAGAGTACCCACTGACTATAATGTTTAAAAAGTCTATTCCAAGATTTTACTACAACTTAAAGTACGAATAAGTAAAACGTATCTTTCGAAGATTATCCATTATAGGACTTTTTCTTTGATGCTCAAGAAGCAATTGTAGATAGCACTTCATATAATTGCATAGATTCATTTACAGCATCTTAAACAACTTGTGGCTGGTAGCGAGATAGTGAAGGAAATAAAGTTGCTCATAGCTAGGGATTTTGCTGTTCTTGTGCTGTGTCTGATATGATTTCTTAGGATAAATCAATAAGATCTTAAGAATGTGATCTTCTAGGAAATATATGTAATCTTATCTTTTATAAGGTTTAGTGTACTCTAGTGCGCATTGTCTTGTGTTTATCAACCCATAATTTTCAGCATATTCTTTTGGATCCCCATATATGGACTATACAATTACTGTTTCAACTATAATGTAGGATTAAAAATAAAATACAATATAATAGATTTACAAATAAACTTATTCCTTAATTTGATAATTCAATATTTATAGATATGATCCTGAGAGAGATTAAAAGTAAGACAATAGTTATGTTCTCAATTCAAGCAACAGAAAAATCTTTATTCAAGATGAATTGATGATTGAGATAGTCGGTGTATGTCTAATGATCTTGATGCTAAATGTTATATTTAGGACTTTTTGCCTCTGAAATATCCAGATTACTACTCAGACTATGTGATTCTCATTCCTTCAATTCCAAACGATAATCATTTGATTGATGATGCCTGTACTTATTGCCTAATGGTCAGAAGAAGTAATCATTCAGTTATGGTGAAAATAGTCTTTAGGCATGATATCATTCAGTGGAGCAGAATGTGATAAAATTGGTACTTCTTTTAAAGCGTTTTAATCTTAGGGGAATGCTTGCTATCTGCCAGTTGACACATGTCTTTCGCAGTAAATAAAGGACCTCATTTTAATTGATGAGATAAGAATCAAAGCAGGTCTAAAGCCCCTCTACAGAGTCTCAGCATTTGACATTAGTATAAATCCTAAGATTGGACTAGTATCTAAATAAGTTGGCTCAACCACATCAACTGTGCTCAGAGTAATTTAATTTGAGAAGAATTTAATCCAAAAATAGCTGGAAATAGTGGCAGATAATCTGATTTATGTCAGGCGAGTTGTAAATTTTTAGATAGCAAAGACGAAGATCCACAATAATTGGTTCTAAGGAACTGCTGAAACTGGTATTCTAGAGGTTTAAATTAAGAATCCAATGTATTTCACTGGTAACGGAGAAATTTAAATTTAAGATTGCTCTGATGATGTGGCACTATTCGGAGGAGCCAGTGTAGCAATAAGTCTTTTTTAGTGGGAACTCAAATCATTCAACTTTACAATCGGCTCAACTAATGATTCAGCTGGCCAATACAGCTGCTGGGTAGTGGTTACCAATTCTAAGGGATAAAAATGTGACACTAGGAAAATTTTATTTGAGACATCAAGTTTAGAAAGAATAAACACAGTAGACAATAGTGCTCGGATATTTAATAATTCTGACGATGCTCTGAAAGCCTATGATCAAGTAGACTAATGTAAGGCCTGCTATGAAGAAAGCTTGCTCTACATCGTCCTCTGTCTTTTCAAGATTGTAATACAGTTTTCTATCATTGATTTTTTAAATAGAGTTGCATTTCAGAGATTATCAAAATCATTTTCATGTACCTAGTCCTTCCATTTTTATTGATTATAATAATTTCAACTTGCCTACCCTGCAGAATAGCGAAATTTCTAATTAAACTCTCTCGTCATGGATTGAGATAGACAATGAGGAACCTAAAAAATACAAAATAAAACTAATAAGCTGAGGAAGAGATCTCTCAGTCAGATTCAGAAAGTAAACAAGACAGGAAAATCTCAAAGTTAATAATTAGTGATGTCATGAATTTGCTAAAAATCAATAAAAATATGAAGGATTGTTAAGATGAAAGGGAATAAACTATAGCAAATAAAAAATCTACTTCACTAAATAAAATTGAAGAAAATGATAAGCGCCATAATGAATTACTATTTACATCAGGTGACTCCTCTTCAGATTCTTCAAATTAATACTTTATTGAAACATAGCAAGAATAATTCAAATCCAACACCAATTTGACTTAAGAAATGAAGAGACAAGATAAGAATTAAAATAATTAGCAATAAGAGAATTTTTAAGACAATAAAGACTCGTAAAAATTAGATGATCTTATATCTCGAGATGAAATCATCTTAGTTGAGTAAATTTAAGAAATTTCAAACAATAAAGCTAAAAGTTTTACATATTGGGAAGATTCTGAAAATTTTAGAACATCAAAAAGATTAAAAACTTCAATAAGGGATTAGAAAAATAATAGGGATGAGGCGGATTAATGATAAACATGAATGATTTTAACTAATATCTAAAAATCCTTGTATCATTACAAGACTATACATTAAAAGATTAATTTTAACTTGAATTCGCATTAATCCTAAATATTCTCATGTTTTATCTCTCTACCACAATTTTGTAAAACTACTAAGTTAATTTGTTCCTTAGGACATAACCAAGTCGAAAATCGATTGTCAATGGAAATGTAAACTGGAAGTGACCGAATCATTGGACGGCTCCATATTTAATTTCTTGGACTATGATTATTATAATAACTTTAATAATCTTTCTCATTTCCTAGAAGTGAGAACCCCCAAGATTAGAGGGACCTCAGAAATGTACCCTCATTTCAAACATGAGCTAATAATTTGTGGTTGAAAATGAAGCGATATTATCCATCCGTTTACTATTAATTACTATAATAGCATTTCACTTATCATGAATTACCTAAAAAGTCTAAATTTCATTCATGGGGTTTTGGGGTTTTGGGG